GGCCATGTGGCAGGGAACTGCAGGCTGCCAGTAAAAAGCCAGAGCCCTAAGTCACACAGCCACAAGGAAGGAAATTTTGCCAACAACCTGAATGCACTAGATGCAGATTCTTCCCTAATAGAGCCCTCAGATGAGAGCACATTCTGGTCAGCATCTAGATTAAATTCTTATGAGACCCTGAGCAGAGAACCTAGTAAGTTATACTGAGATCCCAGGCCCATGAAACTATGGATAATAACTGTGTGGTGTTTTACTATTTACAGTAGCAAAGACATGGAATCAACTCAAATGTCCATCAATGGGAGACTGGATAAAGAAAATGTAGAGCATTTACATCATGGAATACTATGCAGCCATAAAAAGAAATGAAATCATGTCCTCTGTAGGGACATGAATGGAGCATGAAGCCATTGTCCAGAGCAAACTAACATAGGAACAGAAAACTAAACACTGCATGTTCTCACTTATAAGTGGGAGCTGAACAATGAGAATACAGGGACACAGGGAGGGAACCACACCTACTGGGGCCAATCAGAGGATGTGGTGGGAGGAGGGAGACCATTAGGAAAAATAGCTAATGCATGCAGGACTTAATACCAAGGTGATGGGTTGACAGGTGCTCCAAATCACCACGGCACGTGTTTACCTATGTAACAAACCTGCACATCCTGCACATGTACCCCAGAATGTAAAAATAAAAAATAAATAACTGTGCTATCTTAAGTGACTTAGTTTGAGGTAATTTGTTATACAGCAACAGAAATCAAATACATAGTGTATTAATATACTATAATTGCTTTATCATTCTATTATTGATAAGTATTTCAGTAACTTTCCATTTTTGTGTATTAAATGGTGGTGCTATAAATATTCATATATGTGTGTGTGTGTGTGTGTGTGTGGTGTTGTGTCAGTCAAGGTCCAGTCAGAAAACAGAAACAACACAGTAATTTGAACAGGGAGATTTCATGCAAAAAAAAAATTGTTGATTATCTGCAGGGGATTAGCTACTAGAGGGGATAAAAGAGAGCTCTACAAAGTACTTAATGCTGAGGGAGACAAAAATTTGGAATAGGACGCCTTTCCAAGGATGGGGTTCAGATCTCAATGCAGAGGATGAAGTTAAAACCCAGTGGAGGCTGAATTTAGCAGAATTACCCCGGGCCTCAGCTGCTCTATAATAGCAGATGGAGGCCAAGTACTGGGACTGGGAAGCTGGAAACCTCCCACTGCGGTGCTGGTGGGCAGAAAACCCCCTGCTGCAATGCCTACGACATTTATGAAGAATTTGGAGGGAGGAGAAATTCTCTGAGGAGTGGGCTGGGGTCCCTGTAGGACTTAATGGGAAATCACCCCCAGGAGATGCTGGGAAGTACCCATAGGGACGTCTCTGAAACCAGCTGTGGGTGAGTTCCACTGGGTGTTCCACAGCCTGGCCTTGCACTGTAAGAACAACAATAACAAAACAAAAGTAGCCATTTTACAGGAAGAATCTAGGTTCTTCCTGCAGAATCATCCCTTCTAGACCCTCTAATGTCAAAGAAAGAATACTTAGTAGCTCCAGCTCCAGTGTTCCCAGCAGGGCAGTGAACATTGGTTTTGCGGCTGAGAGGCAATAAATTGACAACTGGTATAGGTGTGCACCCATAAGAGACTCATTATCTTTCTATTCTCTTTTAAATTAGTGTGAAATGATTTTTAAAATTTATATCATAATGTCTTATCTTTAGAACAAACTATATTGGACAAAATAAAGGCAATAGCAGAAATCAATAATGTAGAAAATAAGGAAATTATAAAGAAGAAATACAAACGTCTTTTGGCTATTTGAAAATATTCATGAAATTGAAAAATGAGCTTTGGCAAAATTAATCCAGAAAAGTAGAAACAAGGTGCAAAGGTACGTACCAAAATATTAAGCATGAGAATGAGGAACTAATTGCACATGGAGAAGAGATTAAAATATAATAATAAACTAAGGAGAACAGCTTTTATGCCAACAAATTTGAAATCATACACACAATGGACACATTCCTAGAAAAATATATCTAAGTAGGAATAGAAACAAAAAAATTACAATAATTAAGGACATTTTAAAAGTTGTTTAACATTGCTGTGGATTGAATGTGTCCCCTTAAATGTCATATGTTGAAGCCGTAATCCGCATTATGACAATATTTGGAAATGGGGCATTTGGGAAGTAAACAGGGTTAGATGAGGGTGAGGTCCTCAGAGTGGGCTGGGCCCCCATAAGAAATGACACCAGAGACCTTGCACTCTCTCTCTTCCTGCCATGTGGAGACACAGTGCAAAGGCTGCCATCTACAAGACAGGGAGAAGCCCCAACCAGAAACCAACCATGCTGGCTTCAGGATCTTGGACTTACAGACTCCAGAACAGCAAGACAATGAATTTCTATTGCTTAAGTCACTCTCTATAGCGTTTTGCGCTGGCAGCCTGAGCTGACTAAGACAAACATAATTTCACAAAGGAGACCCCAGATGCAGTGTCTTGTGTTTATTTAATTTATATTTGGGACAAATTCACCTTTGTTGCCCAGGCTGGAGTGCAATGGCATGATCTCAGCTCACTGCAACCTCTGCTTCCCAGGTTCAATCAATTCTCTTGCTTCAACCACCCAAGTAGCTGGGATTACAGGCACCTGCCACCATGCCTGGCTAATTTTTTTGTATTTTTAGTAGAGACAGGGTTTCACCATCTTGGCCAGACTGGTCTCGAACTCCTGACCTCAGGTGATCCACCTGCCTCAGCTGGGACTACTGACATGAGCCACTGCACCCGGCCTTTTGTATATTTATATCTGACCAAACATTTAAGGGACAGATTAGTTCGATCTTGGGTAAATTTCCAAGGAATTGAACAAGGATTCCTATCTAACTCATTCTATGAAGCCAGCATAACATTTGATGCTAAAAGTAGATACAAAATGCTTAAGAAAGGAGTGCTACAGGCCAATCTTACTCATAAACATAGATGCAAAATCCCAAACGAAATACTTTTTAAATTATCTTTAATTTTTTTGACAAATTGTAATTGTGTAGAATTAGGGGATACACAGTAATGTCATGACATATGTGTACTGTGTAATGACGGAATCAAATGAATTAACACATCCATCGTCTTAAATACTTACTTATTCCTCCTATTTAACTGTTACTTTCTATCTTTTGACTGACATTGCCCCATTCCACCACCCTTAGCCTTTGGTAACCGTAACCATCATTCTACTTTCTGCTTCTATGAATTCAATTGTTTCAGATTCTACATATTAAGTGAGAACATGTGGCTTTTGTCTTTCTCAGTTGAGCTTATTTTACCTAGCATAATGTTCTCCAGGTCCATCCATGCTGTTGCAAATGAAAGAATTTTCTTTTTTTTTTGTGACTGAATAGTATTCCATTGCATATATAATATGGTTTGGCTGTATTTCCACCCAGATCTCATCTTGAATTGTAGCTCCCACAATTCCCATGTGTCATGGGAGGGATCCAATGGGAGGTAATTGAATAGGGGGCAGGTCTTTCCCCCATACTGTTCTCTTGGTAGTGAATCAGTCTTGTGAGATCTGATGGTTTTATAAGGGGTTTCCCTTTCTGTTTGGCTTTCATTTTCTCTTTGCCTGCTGTTGTGTAAGATGTGACTTTATTTCTCCTTTGCCTTCCACCATGACTGTGGAACTCCCCAGCCACGTGGAACTGTGAGTCAATTAAAACTCTTTCTTTTATAAATCACTAAGTTTCAGATACATCTTTATTAGCAACATGAAAATGGACTAATACAGTATATATACCACATTTGCTTTATCCATTCATCTGTTGATGGACACTTCAGTTGATTCCATGAGTTGTCTATTGTAAATAGTGCTGCAATGACTGTGGGAGTACAGGTATCTCTTCAGTGTAATTTCTGGATTATATGGTAATTATATGGTTAGTTTTTTTGAGGAACCTCCATGCTGTTTTCCATAATGGCTATATTCACATTCTCACCAACAAAGTGTGCAAGGATTCCCTTCTCTCCACATCTTCACCAACACTTGTTATCTTTGTCTGTTTAATAAGACATTTAATCACCATTTCTATGAGTATGAGATGATATTTCACTGTGGTTTTAATTTGCATTTCCCTAATGATTAATGATATTGAACATTTTTTCTTGCTTGGTAGAAATGCATGGTTGAGTTTTGCCTCTTCATCTTGGCAGAGCTTTAGGGTGGGCTTTGAGGTTGCACTGAGCTATTGTTTGAAAGCCTGAATGGTACAAGTCTAGTGCCTGAGCTTTGCTAAAAGGGGCCTCGAGGCTGAACATGGAGGTTAGCCATCTAGGAAGTTGAGCCAGGTCAGGCTCTGTGACTCACATCTATAATCTTAGCACTTTGAGAGGCCCAGGTAGAAGAGTTGTTTGAGGCCAGGAGTTTGACACCAGCCTGGGCAATATAGACAGACCCCATCTCTACAAAAAAGAAATAACCAAACATGATGGAATGTCCCTGTGGTCCCAGCTATTGGGAGACTGAGGCAAGAAGATTTCTTGAGCCCAGGAGTTCCAGGCTGCAATGCGCTATAATTGCACCACTGCACTCCAGTTTGGGTGACAGAGGGAGGCACTGTCTCTGATAAACAAACGAAGACTCAAGCCTAATTAATATGCTCTGGGAGCAACCAGCTTGGCTCTGCCAATGGGCTATGCTACTGGTACCTCTGATTGGCACCTTGACTGGCAGTAATATGGAGCTACCACTAAGATCTGTGTGCCTGTCATCTGACCTCATATGGTGCAGTCATGCCTTTCTCCTCTGTGTTCCACATGAGACAAGACCAAAGTGGGCTTTGGCTTCACGGGATGCTAGGGGACCTAGGTGCGAGTCTCTGGTTCTCTTTTCTCGCTGTTGGGTTAGGAGATCCTCTGTGTGTGAGATGCTGTGTCAACTTAGAGGATGAGGAGAGGCAACACAGTCAATGTAAGACTGTTTCTCTTACCTGCCTAGTGCTGTTATTAGGTTCTATGGTCCATTCAGGTGTCTCAAGCTTATTCCCAAGTTTTGAGATTTTCACCAAGGTGTTCTCATCAGTGGATAGTTGTAGTTCAGCTTTCCATGTCAGGGGAGAGCAGTCTGGGACCTCCTATTCTACCGTCTTCCTCTGAATATCCCAAACAATGTACCAGCAAACCAAACTCACCTGTGTTTAAGAAGATAACACAAATTGATTAAGTTGGGTTCAAAAGTATTTTAATGTTAGCAAACCTAAAAATGCTATTCACATTAGCAGACTAAAGCACTTAAACCATATGAAAATAGATGCACATAAACATTTGATGTATTTCAGTACCCATTCATGGCAAAAAAAAATTAACAAAGTAGAAATATATAACCTGGTAAAGGTTTATCCAAAAAATTACAGCAAAGATAATTCTGAATGGAAAAACATTAGAAGTATCTCTTTAAAAGTTAACAATATGTCAGAGATACAACTGTTCTTTTCTATTCAAGTCTGTACTCTAGGCCCTAGTCATAGAAGACAATAAAGGTTAGCTTTTGTATACAATCACCACCGGATATGTACAAGAATATTCCTAGCAGCACTGTTTGTAATATCCTCAAACTGGAAACAGCAAATAACGAGAAATGTGAGAATTAGACATTCTTTACTCTCCTAGAATCCTTGTATAGTTTAATCTGCATGTAATTTTTCTATATATACACCATGGTATCTTTGTCTTGTTTGAGGGGGAGAGGTTTTTTGTTTTTTATGTATACACCACACTGCTTATTACTTAAATTAATGCATTAAAGTATTTAAAAATAATTAGCAAATCAATAGCAGTAATAATTACTTATAGAAAAGTTACTATTTTATGTAAAATAATGTATCTATATTTATGGTGTACATTTGTGGAATTATGTAAAATTTAAAGCCAATCTCATTTTTGAAGAATTATATTTAATATTTTCTATTCTACTAACCAGTTTTACATTACTATCATTTATATTTCTGTGACTATTTTAGTGTAATATAGACACTTTTAATGAAATTTAACATACATGTATGTGAATGTATCTTTGGATCTTTCTAGATGTATGGGTTATAAAATTACTCACATAGAAAATATAATGATGCCCAAAGGGAGCATAAATATTGCAGATCATAAGTAATTACACTCACAAATGCTCATGGAATTGTTAATCGTATTTATGACTAGCAATTTACTCACTAAAGTTTCCAATTCCTCTTTTACACAAGTGAACAATTACAGTGTTGCCAACCTGACGACACTGTCGAGAACTTAGCAGATTTTAGTTGACTTGTATGTAGGAAGACTTAATGCAATTTGTGTGCAATTAAGAGTAGGCTATATGAAAAATAGCCTCCTCTTAGAATGATTCACTTTGTTTTCAGTAGACAGCTTAAACCAAACCAAGACCATAATTCAAACTGGAAAATAATTTGTCGATAGATACCCAGAGCCAACAGGCTGCCTAGAGCCACCCTGCTGGGGCATCCATCAGTTATATTTCTTGGTCTACAAGCAGACTGTAGTGGTTTTCATTTTGAATTTTATTTCAAACCCCATGGTCTTAATTCCTTTACATGGCCTCTTAGTTCATCCCTATGAATTAGAGATTTATGTTTTTATGAGGGGTGATGAATGCTTAGAAAAAAATCTGGGAATATTTAGTAGAACCCTTGAGGCCCAACACTGAGTTGACAAAAGCCATTTGTGTTTTGTTTGTTCTACGGCAGCACTTTTATTTTTCCTCATACAATGACGTGTTGCTGGGGCCTGATGTTCTCACATACCAGGAGAAAAAAGTGGAAGGTTGTTGTTTAATGAGTAATAAAGGCTCAGTTTTGTGAGATGAGTAGTCCTAGAGATTGGCTGCACAACGATGAGGAGGTATTTAATATATCACTGAACTGTACAACAAAAAAATTCAAACTTCTAATTGGGTCTGTCTGAAAAAGTCACATTAAAAACAAGTTGAAGTCAAGCCAGAAACGCTCATAGGTTTTTAGAAAGCTTGTCACAAGCAAAACTTTCCTATAAAATTAAAAATCGGATAATCTCATCTCAAAGATTTTAATTACCAAGGACTAAATTATTGAGCTCTCTCTTTCTTCCTTTCCTGAAATAAGAAATGGTCTAGGAAATAAAACCCTTAAAACATAACAATGATCCTGACATTGATTGTACACAAATTTACAAAATGAAAGGATTTTGTTATATTTGGGGTCATTTCCAAAAGCTGTGACACTGAAGTGGACTCCTCACTATCAGAAGTTGTTTGAGATTGACAACTGTGTTCTTTGAGTCCACAGAATTGAAAACTATTAGATCCGTCTGATTTCTATAAGACACTTTAGAAATTTAAGGATGAGTCATGACTTGTCTTATAGCTAACCTAATGGCCCAACTTTAATTAATGGACCTCTGCTCTAACAGAGGCACGCTAGCCTGGTGCATGTTGTCTATTTTGTTAGCCAAATGAGCATTATTTTGTTAGCTGTCCTCCCTGTATCCATCCACCCATCCATTCATTTGCTGGTCTATTTATTTATTCACCAAAAATTCAACAAAAGTTTATAGAACATCTATCTGCTATATACTTAGGAGGGGCTAAGCTATGAAAACAAATATGAGTAAAATTCCCATGAGGACATTCTACCCTCAAGGATATCACATTGTATTTAGGAACTTGAAAGACTGGTCTCTAGTTCTAGTCTTTTTCTCTCCATTTCCAATATATTTTGAACTGTCTTCTTTTTCTTTTTATGTATTGGTGTCAGTTTCCTTACTTTGCTTTATGTAGGTCATTTTGGTCTTGCACAACTCAATATATTTTCATTGAAACTATTTTCATTGGTATTCCACAGCAACTTATTTAAGTATACTAACAATTAGCTAAACTTCAGTGGTTCTGTACACCTTTTCCTCCCATTAAAAGGTGGCTAATTTTGGGACAATATCCTGATTTCCCTTTGGGAGGATTATCTCTGTTCCATAGAATACAGTCTATTTAGTGTTCTATTAAGTACAGCCTGCCAATCAAGGCACTTAGCTCTTCTGTAGCCAAAGAATGAGCACACGACTGACGCTAGACTAATGAGTTGATCTTTCCGGAATTTAAGTCATGAACAAAGTGAAAACAGAACAAAAATTCACACAGGTAGCAGGTCTAAGGGGCTATCTATTGGCATCCAGAGCTATGGTGATTCCTGCCTTATTCTGCTTTCTTCTTGAATCTGTAAGTTCTCCCCCATCACTCTAATGATTTTCTTTCCTGTTGGATCACATGAGTTACTGTCTGAAGTTTTCATCCTGAAAACCTTAATTGATTGATATTTCCCTATTTGTGGCATCTCTGAATCTTTAGTGATTATTGGCAGAGTTGTGTCTACATTTTCATGGGGACTATAAGAAATACCTCACAAGGACTCCCAGTCCTCTCAGTTATTACCTCTAGGCACAATGGTCTCACCAAAGTGTAGCCACCACCTGCTGAAGCTGACCTCTGCTGATCAGCCAAACCTCTGTGTACGAAAGCTGCTTCTGACTTCCTGACCTTCATATTCTGAAACCAGGCCACATTCTTTGCCAACATGACATGAATCTCTTTACCAGTTGTATTAGTCCATTTTTATGTTGCTGATAAAGACATACCTAACACTGGCTAATTTATAAAGGTAAGTGGTTTAATGGACTCACAATGCCACATGACTCCAGAGGCCTCACAGTCATGGCCGAGATGAAGGAAGAGCAAAGGGAGGTCTTATGTGGCCACTGGCAAAGAAAGAACTTGCACAGGGAAACTCCCCTTAATGAAATTATCAGATCTTATGAGACTTACTCACTATCATGAGAACAACACAGGAAAGACTCCCAGCCATGATTCAACTACTTCCCACCAGGTCCCTCCCATGATATGTGGGAATTGCGGGAGCTATGATTCAAGATGAGATTGGGGTGGGGGAGACAGAGCCAATCGATATCACCAATAGTGCTGTTCTGCTACATGGGAGGGGTGGGGAGGGATAACATGGGGAGAAGTGCTGGCTATAGTATGCACCTATGCAACAACCCTGCATGACCTACACATGTACCCCAGAAACTAAAGTAAAATTAAAAAAAAAAAACTTGTGCTCCCTTGATTCCCAGTGTCTTAGAGATACTTAAATAGAATCATACTATATTTACTTAAATTTCTTGTCTGGATGACTGATAAAGAAATTCATGGGAGCTGGACCTTGAAAAAGACAACAATTAATCAAAACTATTCCCATGTTTGAACCCTGGTAGTGGTGATAAAAACTACTCTTTGTGAGATAAACAGGTTCCCTTTGATTCTACTAAGAGGTTTTGAAATGACTGCAGAAGCCAACACCTGCTCGCCTAAATAATGCATTTGTGTCTCATTGAAGATTTGCCTCAATGTCTGAAATATTTAGCTGTTTAAAAGGTCAGGTGGGAACCATGTATGAATAGTATGACTATATTTAAATTTTTTCCATCTGTGATATTGAGTAATGCACATTCCTTTTATTATATTTTTTAATTTTTTATTTTTTATTTCAATAGGGTTTGTGGTGAACAGGTGGTATTTGGTTAGGTGAATAAATTCTTTAGTGGTGATTTCTGAAATCTTGGTGCACCCCCACCCAAGCAGTGTTCACTGTACCCAAAGTGTAGTCTTTTATCCTTTGCCACCCCGCTACCCCTTCCTCCACTGTCACCCTCTACCCCTTCCTCCATATCCCCAAAGTCCAATGTATCATTCTCATGCTTTTGTGTCTCATGGCTTAGCTCCCACATATGAGTGAGGACATATGATGTTTGGTTTTCCATTCCCAAGTTACTTCACTTAGAAATATCTCCAGTTCCACCCAGATTGCTGCAAATGCCATTATTTCATTCCTTTTTATGACTGAGTAGTATTCCATTGTGTGTGTGTGTGTGTGTGTGTGTGTGTGTGTGTGTAACATTTATTTATCCACTCATTGACTGGATAAAGAAACTGACTTTACTCCATAAATACAAATGTTTATTTATGGCAGAAGATGATTGACTTTATTCCATAAGTATAAATTCTGTACTATAAATGTTATATATATATATATATATATATATAAAATTTTCTTTATCTACTCATTGATTGATGGGCATTTGGGTTGATTCCATATTT